TTAAATATGGCTATGCACTTTGCAAAAGCCATTTGAACCTGGCGATGGTTTAATTTGGCGTTGTGTATAAGAGTTATTTATTTAATGGAATAGTAAGCCGTTATGGTTAGGCCCTATAATTAAAAACCTTTTTCTGTTCCAGTTGTGGTTAGATCACAATAATTCAAAAACAAAATTCTTTAAACCACGCTGGACCTCTGAGGTCCGTTGTAATTTTGGTAACACAAGATGAGTCACTAAAGGTTGTGCCGCAGTTTTAATCACAAAAATGTACTTCAAGCGGTGGTGAGACGGTATCAGACACTGACGTTGATTTGTTAGGCAAGTGTGCTCTGTAAGGTAATGTAACCTTATGTCCTGTGTTGTGTTGTCCTGTGACTTTAAAGCCCGCTGTAGATGCGGCTAACAACAGCATCAAGTATGTTGACTGGTGGAGACGTGTTGCTCCAGGCTGAAGGCTTGTGTCCTGGACAACTGTCGAAGCTCTCTCGCAGCAGCAGATTGAATGCAGCAACTGCGTTCTACTTTCAACCACAAAAACCTTACAACGTGTTTCAGTTCTCTTAGAATTCCACCGTACTTTCTAGTAAATAGTGATTCTTTTCTATGCAACAACCATGTTAACAACGTCATTTGTGTCAGTTTTCACAGTCGCCAGTTTTATTCTGGCAGCTACAGCCCTAGCTCATGTCCAAAATTATTTTCAGCCACAGAGGTTTATAAAATTGAACCCACATTTGGCCTAAGTAGACAGGCTATAAATGGAAAGGCTGAACAATAACAATGCCATTCAAAGTGCTAACACCACCTTATAACGAGCCTTTGACTATCCATCTGCTGCTGTTCAGACCTGTGCACCTCCTAGATTTCTGCTCTATCTTCACTACCACATTGAATTCCTTAATCTCCACTTGAGGTATCACCATTGCATCGCTCGACGTTTCAGAAGCTGCATTTGACAGCTTGTCACACTGGCTTTAATTATGCACTCGGCCACGCTTACTCGGAGATTTGACTTCCTGAGTTTGGCTATCCAGCTCTGCTTTTGCAATTTTTTAGCTTTGGCTGATCTGGCGCTGTTTTTTTACCAAGAACTTGCTAATTTCATTTCGCCATAGTTTTTCTGAGGCGACGCAACTTAAACAAAACTCAGACATCTGCATTATGCTAGTGGTAATTTTAAACCCAAATATGCCTAGCAACTACGTGTCTAAATTCAACCCCGTTATTTAGTGCCATCTGGTTTATGCAGACTCTGATCCTTATTTTCAATGCACTTATTCCAAAAGATGTATTGTTTGCCAATTTGAAATTATCAGATGTGCCAGAGACGTTATCGCATAGCCTGATAGTCAAAGGTTTCTGATGAACAGCTAGTCACATAGTGGCATTAGTTTACCTACTAATGTGGTCAATCGCTTTTGAATTTGGGTAATCACTATTGACTCAGAGGTTCAAATGGCTTTTGCAATGGGCATAGCCTGATTTAAAATTCCTTCACAACTAAATCTAATTCAAATGGCACTGGCCTCACACAACCTGACAGTTCTACATCAATAGCCAAGGTGTAAGCATCGCAGTCAATAGACAACTTGTGTGAACTCGATCAAACATGCTAGCACATTGTCGACCTGTAAATGAAGGTCTGGTATGCATATTTTTAAATGAATAACCTTAAGCTGTCTAAATCACCTTCCTTTACACAGTTGCGGGTTCTAGTTAAAATCTCACATCTGATTGTCTTTATCGGTCTGTGGATGAGGTGCAGCATCGACTGGAGGAGATCATCCGATGTTTAATGTTAGACTAGGTCGTCGACGCACAGTGGCCACATGATTGTCATTTGTCATGTAATACGGTTCTATCGCATCGGTATCATTTCATCATGCTGTGTTCTTCAAGTAAAATCCCAATAATTAATTCCCTAATTCCTGAAGTCACACAACGACCACATTTCGTGGCTTACTATATTTACCTTAATTCAGTAGCACATTAAGGATATTTTCCACTGCAATGCCTAAGACAGAACACGTACGAGAAAGCGTGACTTCAAATTTGAATTCTCCCAAGCGGAGTCTCAACAGTTATAGTATCAGAATTAACACTTGAATGACTGCTAGGTCGCAAGTAGTATAATGTTAATTGCACTTGTATTCATTGCAGTAACAGAAACCCTTGCTGATGTATCACCCTATTCTAAGCTTATAAACACCGCCTTCTCAGTTCCCTTCCCTTCCTGTTGCACACGTCCTCTTTCCAGGTTTTGTTCAAGATTCGTCAAAATTTATTCGCAGTGATTGAACATACAATAAAAAAATGTAACAACTGCATTTGGATGTGCAAGGACAGAAGTCTAAATGCAGTAGTTGAGACTGGCGTAGTCGGGAGACTCCGGGGTAGAGGGGGGATTATAGCGGTGAACGAAAAAGCATCCTTCTCCAAATAGACAGGCTCCAGTGAGTGTGTAATGCACACACAGTCTTGTGCGGTACTTGGGATGGTTCTGCGGCAATCTCAACTCGAAGATGCCATGAGCGAACTTGCAAGCTTCCCCTTTCGGGCAGGTGCCCCGTCGGAGGAAGTGAAAACACAGGGCTGACTTATATAGCAGGTTACAACGGTGGCCGTGTGCATTGCCAACTCCTGGTGCATTCCTCGTCAGCGGCTGTTGTCGCTGTTGTAACAACTGAAGAGCTGATGCCCAATTTTGCGCTCCAGTGGAACTACCACTACGTATGTGCTGACATGTTGGAGGGTTCCTAGAAAAATTGGTAAAATTGCAACATCCAGATACTTACATGACCAAATGGTGCAGCACATCTGGATTCTCCTCCAGAATCTTATTGACAATATGTTCGAAAAGCTCCCCATCCCCTTTCTCCTCATTCCCCAGTCCTTCCTCAAAACACCTTCTTGCGCCAACGCCAGTATTCTCCGTCCTGAACCAATTCCACATATCCATGTTACAAGTCCACATGAAATGAGGTGAACGTTGAGTGACGGTGTATATATACCGGCAAGACCACGGCAAATACTGAGCTCTAATCAGCAGGCAATTATTGACACGACTTATACTCGGGTTCGCACCTACCCGCAACGGTTAACCGATCACTGTTCAGTGAGCTGACATTCACCGAGCTAGCTCTATTCCCGAAATCGACGATTTTGTCGCGCTGTTATTTTAAGAGAGGGGGGAGGCGAACTTGTCGTGACGTGCTAATTTGTTTGCATCAAATAACACATTTTGTCAAAATTAGAGGAGACTTGTGAGGCTACCCAGAATCATCGAGATATGGAGACTTTCTACAATTTGCCAGGTTCATCCTGATCAGCAAAAGTTACTGCACGTCTTGATACTTGATTGCAAGAGATGTCCAGGCAATAAGCAATGCCCATCTTAGATGCATGTTATCCATTCCTTTCGTTGCAGGGTAGAGAGCTGTAGTGAGTCGTGTTGATATACGCTCAATAATACCGTCGTCGCTGCCTTACGGCTGAACGTGCTAAAGCGCAAATGGAAGAGAATATATTTTGATTAAACAATCGTAAAGTGTAATCTAAATACATCAGATAGGATCTCCTATTACTACCATTTCTACTCGAAGGTTTATTTCGTTTAGTGAATACGTATGAAAATATTTTGTTGTGCATTAGTGTTTGATCATCACTTGCATGATTTTCTTTGGCGTCGTATAAATTTTCATGGGCAATTTTTTTGTCCCACTAGTTCCAAATCTTGAACACTAGGTCTACAGCCTTTGTCAGGTGTTTTCTATTTAGTAAGTTTTAAGGAAAGGATCTATAACCAAACACCTTCTAGGAATATCCGCTAAGTAAAATGCTGCTGTTGTCAGCAATGCTACTTTCCAACCCTGACGTCTACTGCGACGCAGACACGATCTACCTGTTTGAGCAACCATTTAGACATAAAGTGTAGGTGATATATCATGGACTCATGTTCACGGATGGACTAATAATGTCTTGACGATAAATTCAGCTGGTTACAACGTGCGCCTTCTTTGCAGCTTAATATGAGTGTCAACGACAAATTATCATCCACCGCCAATACTTGAAGATAGGAAATATCAAACAAACGTGTAATGCGCAACTGCTGATGTCTATTTGTGCTGCAGCATATCTCTGCATATCCAAAATATTAAGTGGACGTCTCCAATATGCCTTTCTTCATTACTCTTCCCAGAATGTTCTAGTTCAACGATCTGAGGCAAAAGCAGGCAGTATTTAGACGCATTCCAAATTCCTTGTGATGAACTGGGCAGAAGAGAGCCGGAACTGCTTTTACTGCTGACTAATATATGAAAGAAAGTATCATTAGCATTATAGTAGTTTATAAAATATTGGACTTTTAATCGGATTATTAGTGGTACACGTAAATGATGTCTTTTTATTTCAAATTCTGCAACAGCAATTTGTAGTCCTCTATTTTCGTCTAACCTTTGTCGCACCAAGTATGCTTAAATTTAGCCAAATCCTTAAATGTGGCAAATGACACCTTATGCACCAGCGGATTTGGAGGTGTGTGAACACGCCACATGCGACTTACGTTCTGCCGAAAATCTGTGTTGAAATTCCACCGTTTTGTTTGACATTCGGCTGATTGCATTTGTTTGGATTGACTCTCGCATTAGTTCGCAATGTATTTTTGGTAAACAGATGCAGTAGGATTTACAAACATAAATCCATTGCGCTGTAATCCAGTACAAATTTAACACTTACATTTCGATTTGTACTGAATTAATGGATGCTGTCACTGCATTTGTCGACATAATGTTTCGCTATAAGCAGCCTGCCCTTAGCCGGGTAAAACGTCACTTCGAACCTCAATAGACGAACAATTACGCTCCATTATCAATAGGTCCCATAACATTTCCACTCCTGTTTCATGAAGGGCCTAATGATGAGATATTAGCTTAAAATGGTGATTTGGAAATCCAAGTCATTTGACGCGCAACTGTGTGTTTTTGCCACTGTGTCTGATTCTACTTTGACTACGACTACTAAAGCCATTGGTGATGGTAAAACAATAATTGAGTATACTAGTTTAGAGTTACTGTTAGGTGAGACAGTGTCGCCAACTAAGCACGATTGCGACTGGAGAAGCTCACCGTATTTCCGCTGGAGTGGGTTTTAAACAAGCGGCATATCAATGCATCAGACATAGTGTTTATGTGTATGACTGACGTCGTCAAGTCTGCAAGCTAACTTTCTCCAACAACTTGACGTAGATGAGGCTCATTTCT